GCATACATCTATGTCATCAAAACTTAATAGTTTATTGCTATTGTGGTGACAAATGTACGTATGATTTTGCACAAATTCATAAAGCGGATAATAAATTTTAATTAATGCTTTTTTATGAATTAGCACGATGCTATATTTGATGTATGAATCGAACATAATTTTGTAGTTGGCGTATGAAAAAAGCCTATTTCCCGTTCAACATCCAGTGATGATTTTTCTATAGCAAAAAAAAGCATCCGGTGATGTTTTTTTGGACTCTTTAGTTGGTTTAGTTCTTTTGTGAAATTATTGTATTATATAATCATTTATTATATGATTGGTATTAGTCCGGGTTAAAAAAATCGCTAGACGCTAGTTTAGCGGTGAGGGTGGACCTAACGCATAGCAAAAAAATCAGAGATTAAACGGAGATTAATCGGAGATTAGTTTTAGGGCTATTTACTGTTTTTAAAATACATTAATCCATTATAATTAAGAAATTTATATAATATTGTTTTTAAAATAACATGAAACGCATAAAAATAAGATTTTAAGCTTATATTTATTATTTGTATACAAATTACGAATATAAGTAGGACGTTTTGAATTTTGGATCCAAAAAAAAAAATAGTAAAAAAATAAAATAAAATAAATTGGGCTAGGCGCCGTCTAGGCGGACAAAAAATTGGACCAGCGATTTTTTTTACCGGTTTGGACAAAATCGCCGCGGTTTCCCTCCGATCAGCACCTAGGCGACCAATTTTTAGAACAGGTGTATTAGTTAACTTATATATTAACATATTTTATTCATCATGATAATTTAATTTTCACAGACTTATATGTTATTTATTTTTTTAGTCTTTTTCATCTATATTATTAATTGAGAATCACTAGATATTAAATAACCTTATGAAAGATACAATATTACCTAAGATGCCATTGGTTTTTAGTGTTTTTAAATAAATTCATTAAGGGTACAATAGATAATCACAAATTTAATATATTTAAATAAAATATAGTAAAATTATTTTAAGTAATTATTAGTTTCCAAAAAATTAAACTCACTTTCTCTCTCTTATTAATTATGGACGAAAATATTAAATTAATTTCAAAAAAATTATTAACCAATGAAAATTGAAAAACTAAGATTTGATATCCAATTTACATTTTATCTAAACCAATCCTAATAAATTATTCTATATCAAAAATACAAATAAAAATATCATTTTAATTCAAAATTAAAACACTACCGTTTAAAAAGTTTTATCAATGGAGGATTTTAAGATTACGTGACGAGATGGGAGAGGAATATAAATTAAAAATCAAACTAAATACTCAACTGGTATGAGTACGGGTTATGAGCACTACATAAAATAAATTTGTTTACACACATAACCTTACACATACATTGTCAATTACACATATTCTATTTATGATGGACACAGGACCATAATATTTGTATTTCAAGTATACGAAACGGGTTAAGGGACGAAAAATTTATAACAGATACATGACGGGATAGGTTTCCCGTTCCAAAATAGTTACGCCTAGCTAATATACATGAAATAACTCAAACTAAAACCGAATCCATATCTTATTTAACACATGTAATCAAACTGTTAAAAATGTTTTGATTAGTTTAGAAAATAAAAACGTAACATCACTTAACTTCGCAACTAAATTATATGTTAAATATAATTTCGCACGTACGTTTAGGTCTGGATTTTAAAATATAACTATGCACTAACGCAACTGAATTTCTTTTATTACGAAGTTCACTAACACAACAAATATTTTATACTTTCAAATTTTATATAATAATTTCTATAAAAAATATTTATGTACATACGTGTGAATCCAGATCTAATACACTAAAATATATATCATAAAAACAACAAAATAATCTATATTGAATTAAAATTTGTTATATATTTTTTTTAAAATATGAAACCCCGCACGTACGTGCGGGTCAGGATCTAGTATATTCTTAAACTAACCAATCAATTATTTATTTGTTCAGTCTAGTGTGATGCAACTCAACCATAATGCTCTTGATGTTAATATGTTGGTGCGTGTGAGAAGTACCGAGTTTCGCTTGCTTAAACTGGACGGTGTATGTGTACCATTTGTTATCCTGCTGACATAGTCTTTTATACATTTTTGTATTCCTCCCTCTGTTCATTTTTAGTTGGTGGTTTAAGAGAATATTTTTGTTCTAAATAAGATGATGTTTTTAGTTTTTAATGTAATATTAATTAGTATTTTTAGTTTTGTCTATTTATATTCTCCAGATTATTTTTCTATTGATTAGATAATAAATAATTGTTTAGTTTATAGATAAACAATAATTAAATGCTATTTTAGTCGATGTACAAAAACAGTGAAGTATTTTCAGCTTTTATCTCTACTGATTTAGTTTTTTCATACACAAATCGTTGAATTTAAAGGATTTCGAGCTGGGATTTGATGAAAATGACAAAAAAAAAAGGGTTTGTTTGCAAAGTAGTACGTTTTTGAAACATAATTGTAAAAGTAGTACGGTTACTATTTACAATTTGAAGAGTAGTCGGTGGGACCAGCTTGTGAGATAGAGAATTGTGAGATAGAAATATTAGTGGAAAAGAGAAAATACCAAAAAGGGTTTTGTGTTTATTTGTTTCATCTCTCGTTTCTCTCTCCGTGAAAGTTGCATCTCCGCCAACTTAAGAAAACACCAGAAAATTGATGGGTGTTTATGCGAAATTGAGAGAAGGGAAAGTTTACTA